AATATTTCACATTTCCGATGGATCTTATTGTGTTACCAGTGCGTCACCTCTGCTTCGCAGAGGTTCGCACTGGCCCTACTATCTGTATGCCTTACCCATTCTCGTAATAATGACATTGATACTTACCGCGCTATGCAGACTATTACGATAGATTTGTAAACAACTACTCATTCCTAAGACTTTTTCATGTGAGATCGGTAATTTCGCCTGGATGAAACTTTTCCCAAAAGAACAAACGCAGATTTAAATCGGTTTTTGGACTTTTCATGGCTTGCTTTTCGCCATAAGATACAATAATCACTGTGGGCTACATCTCCGTGCAAAAATCCTCTCAAATGATCGGGTAAAATCTTGGCAAATTGAACATTTGCGCAACAAATATATTTTGGCGCCGTTTTCGCAAAGTAATAAACTTTAGTTCAATTTTTTAGGCTAAAGTCCATGGCTTGCAGACTAAGTTGTCAAACATTTCCGTGACTTTGCAAAAGGTCTTACTAAAGGCTCAATTTTACTGACCAAAAGCCAAGTGGATCCGTCTGACGTGTGATTTTCAAAGGATCCACTGAACGGATCCGCTCAAGCTTTGGTATATTGGACTCTCATGTTGCTAGCATGCGCTGTGCAAGATTTGGGCCTAAGAAGTTGGCTGGTAATCGTCCCACGAATTTCGTGACAGACAGACAGACTTACACACATACACACATCCACACAAAAACACGTAAACATCCTTAGCCCGTTATTATAAGTAATGATATTTGGTGCTTTGAGCTTTAGCCACGAAATAGCTTTGATACTTAATTGAGCAGCTGAAACACACGCAAGCACCATATTTCATACAGTGGGAGTCGTTGGATGGAGCGAACATAATATCTGCAACGAGCATATCATACAAGCGCTCACGGGAGAATTTCGACGAAATATACAATCTTTACATTTTGGGCACAATTCACGAGGACGTGATTTCGTAGGCTCGTAACTCGGCGAATTTTACAGACTGGAGCCTGAGTCATGCACCATTCGATAGCACATTTCCTAGTAACTTTGAATGAAAAAAGCAAGCAGGCAAGTTTCCTGACAGATACGCGAGAAGTACGGGCAAAGTGTTACGCACTTTGTGATGCAGTTACAGTCACCTCACCGTATCTCTCCAAAAAGACCATGTAATCCTCAAAGACCACGATTTTCGTAAAGAGCTGCTCGAAAACCTCTATAAGCGAAGTTTCCTTACAATTCAAGACCATCAACATTTTGGCCAAAATCCATCGGCGAGCTTCATCGGCGAGAAAAAATGAAATAACCGGAACATATCGGAAAACTTGCTCGTAGAGGTTATGCGACCTGCTGATTTCGAAACTCACATCTGCTTAGCAAGATAGCTTCGTATCCTGGGGCTATGGCGAGTAGAATTTGGGACGACAAGATTTTTCCACAATTCACCAGCCGTTCTATTTCCTTTAAAAAGAAATCTGCGGCTAGTATTTAGCACTTCATAATCTACAGAAAAAGTACTAGCGAAAGGTCCTTGCTGGAATGTACTAGGGACATTGCTCGCTGCTTTACACCTTCGCCAAAAGACGTCCTCAGAAAGATTCAAGAATACTGAAATCGAAATATCAAGGACATGATGTATATAAAAAGATTCGTCTTGATGAGCTGAGCAAGGCGCTGCTTTCGGATTTGAAATATACTTATCCCGAAGGAGGTTATGGCGAGTAGAATTTACAAACGCGTGATTTTTCCAAAATTCACCAACGCTTCTATCTCCTTTGGAAAGGAGTCTGAGCCTATTAGCGCACAATAATACAAAGACAGTATTATCGAATAGTACTTAGTAAGTCTTCTATGTTGGGTAGGCGTTGCTTCACATATTCGCGAATGGACCTCCGCAGAACAATTTGTAAAAACTGGCTGGAAACCGAATATCGAAGACATTGTACCCCCACTTCCAATATATCAGAAGATTCTCCGCGCCGAGCTGAATCTAATGGTGGCTTTGGACTCAGAATTCGTCCACTTCGAAGCGAGATATGGCCACGCGACGCTGATGTATGGACATGTCCATACATGTCCATACATTCGCGTCTATTTTTCAAAAAATGTGAGCGGTATTGTAGCTTCGCGAAGATGATGAAAAGAATTGTGAAATATAATGAAAAAATTGTGTGGATGAAGGCAGTTGTAAGTGTTTTTCTATTTTAGGTTGCTCCCGCCCAACCTGAGAGCACCCTGAGGTTGCGCGAGACCAATCAAAGTCTTAATTTACCAACTTCCTACATAATTTTTCGAAAATTTTTACAAAAATCCGTTCCTCAGCTTAAACTTTATCTATGGGTGCTCACTTTAGCCTAGTTTTCGATCCCACTGCTTTCCTACGGCACTTAACGATATAAAACCTTCTTCTTTTTCGCGTTTTGTTGTTTTATCCCCAATTTTCTGCTTTTTTAGTTTTGTCCACTCACCGTTATAAGCCGTACTTCCACAGATCCGCAAAAGATTAGTCGTAATTTTCCGCAATGTCAAAAGGGACTTCGTTTCTAAGATTTCCAAACGCCACCTCGTGCTGGGCCCTGATCCTGAAATTCCCTGAAAAACTTTACAATCTCGATTTTGCTCCTCCCCCCAAGAAAGATATCCAGCGTGTGAAAGCGCCACCTCTGCTGAGCCCTGATCCGGACGAAACGCAAACGTCGATCTGCACTCGGCTGTACGTTCCAGTTCAGTGCACTGATTGCTGTCACTCTGACATTAAAGGCAGTGTCTAACCAAATGGGGTGGTAGGGATTTCCACACATTCTATTAGAGAACCCCCTAAATAGGCCACTGCAACAAGTCCCACTCGATTTGGCCCTCTTTACCCCCTGAGAAAGATTTGCTCATAGCGGTACGCGGGGAGTGATTCGGTAGGCACGGACGACTGCTCCGGCCTCCCCTTACACGTTTTGATATGTCCCTCCCACTGGCGTCCTCCTCGAGTGTGTTGCTGCCACCGTGGCGGAGGCTGAAGTTAGAAGGCACAACTCGTCCACGTTGCTTTCTTGGGCCCCCAGAATACGGGTTTTTGAGGGTTTCGTGCGGTTTCAAGCCCCTACACTGTTAGACGGGGTCCGACAGGCTTGTAAAATGCAAAAATCTCGGCAGCCAAATTTTGGTGAGACGTTGCCCTTAACACATTGACGACATGCCGATTTTTCGATTACTGCCATTTCGGACAGGAGCCTTTTTAGCTCTGCCAAACTTACGACCCACCCGTGGGTCGTATTGTCCGAAATGGTAGTTTTTTTTAGTCTTAGTCCTGAATTTCTTACAAAAAGACGGTAGTCTTTTTGTAAGAAATTCAGAACATGTCTCCGAGAATTCCCCACAAGGGTTATCGAACGCGCTGATTACCAAATTATGATTTATTTCAGTTTTTGGCGTTATACGGTAAGGTTACGGTAGTCAATCTGTACGAACCCAACATCATGGATTTTCATGAAAATTTGTGTATTGGGGTTATTTGGGGTTATTTCACGTGCTAATCACGATTATAGTGTCCATTTGTTCACTACATTCTCACGGTGAGACTACGGTAGCAGTACGGTAGAATTTTCGTAGAAATCAAGAAACTGATGTTAGAAGGATGTATCAAAACTTTAGACTATCGTTTTCGTAATCAGCATGCTACAAAATCTATATATGCAAAGTTCGAGCTTCCTAGGACGAAAAATGCAAAAAATCAATAAAATCAATAAAATCGATAATTTTTTAGTGGATTAACGTCAGCCTCTTGCCCGCCCCGTATTACTCTTAGATGTAAACTTGATTCTCCAGAAACAGCACCATTTTACGAAGAATTTGAGCTAAAGCTTGTGCCTTATAGATGTCTACCGTATACCAACCGTAAAACATTACATTACAGTATCCCGAGCCCGGACCACTCTGGCTGGAGCTTCATCTAAGTGCCCCGATCATGTGCCAGAACCGCGTAAAATTCCGTCGTAAACTGGCAAAGATAGCGCTTCATGAATCTTACGACCCACCGGTGGGTCGTATTGTCCGAAATGGCAGGACGCGTACGACCCACCGATGGGTCGTATTGTCGTCAATGTGTTAAAGGCAGTGGCTCGGCAAATCTCAACCTAGTCAAATTTCTGCTTACCTGGGGGTTACTCAAAACGTTGATCACGAAAATCCAATTTAGAGAGCTCGAAAACGGAGAAAACGAGCGTTTTTCAACCCCTTCCCTTCAAAATTGGACGAGTGGAGCAAGGCTGATTACGCTGAGTAGTTGCGGGATACAATGATTATAGCACTGCGGCGGGCAGCCTCCAATGGTGAGAAGGTAGTTGCCAACTCGGCCGGGTGAGTGTAAGATTGACTTGCGCGTGTAAATTTGAGAGCGATTTTCTCGACAGGGAAGGCATGCTGTGCAACCGGGATTGCACTGTTTTCATACTTGGACGATAAGGAACCTGCTGCGTTGAATCCTGGGTTGTCAAGTTTTGCCGATCCACTGCCTTCAAGGCACTCAGCAGGTAGGCTGAAGGGCGCACTATTGGTAACGTTGCAGTGATCTGCTAGGATTAAAAACATAACGCCGGGTAGAACGACAGTAGGTGTAAAATATCTACAGCTGTAGATCTTTCACACCACCTACTGTCGTTTCACCCCGCGCTACCGCGAGTGGTCGACCATTGTAGGAGCCACGCATGTAGGCTACTTTCGAAAATTTTGAAACCCTCTCGGCGGGAGGGGCGGGGGAGTGCATTTACTGACTCTGATATTCAGCAGATAAGCTGAAATTCGCATTCGTAGTAATTTTGCGGGAAGACAAGGATAACTATGATCAAACACATAAAATATCTACAAGTGTAGATGAAATAAAATCAGCATGCAGATCTGCTTCACGTTTTTGCAGATATGTAGGTTAAACAATTAAATAGTTTTTAAAACGATAATGAAAAAACGAGGCAGAACCGAATCTCAGTATAATGTTAACTTACTTCTTTTAGGGAAAATATTCACAAATTAATATTCCAACGTGCGTTTTCCGCGTTGACTAAGGTTATTTGTTTATACAGATCCGAAATTCGTCGCTGTTCCATATTTGATGTGACGCTCCGCCCCAATCTTAGAATGATCCCTTGCACCGGTTTAACTTCAGCTGTTTCAGCTCCCTGACTCCGCGAAAAATGTTTTCGTGCAAAGCAGCATGAACTTGTCATATCAGCACACATCTTTAACACTGAAAGTGCTGTTACACTGGGTGTCAAGAGGTTGAGTGGAAGTAAGTTGTTGGTGACAGCATTCTTTACAATGCTGTTTGTAATGTCGTGATGGCGCCACTGTTCGAAAAATTTTCTGCGATCAGAGTTTGAAATTTTCAAATCACCAGCGACACGTAGTCAGTGAACTCTGTTGAGTTGTATACTTCTACCCTGTGGTATAGCTTACATTCCGTTCCCTCCTTCCCTTTCTATGTGTGTTCACCAAAAGTCCAAAGACTTCTGTCGTGTGCTATATACCTCACTTGATGACAGGACATGTATTACAACTTAAGATGCAATCAATCTTTTAGTGTCTACCGCCGGACCATTGTGATTAATCGCCTCCATAACTCGATAACGTCGTAGAAACCTTCTAGTACACAATCATTTCACGCGTGGTCCTTTTGACCACTGGTTCAAAAGAAACTTATATACGTCTCATTCGAACTGTAGTAGGTTTATGGAACACGCGAACAAGCATATGCGATTTTTCTCCAAAGTTTTGAGCTGAAGTTGTTAAGAGATGGCAACTTTTCCTGGAATTTCCTTGAAGCTACGGGTTTAATAAAAGCCTAGAGATTTCAGTCTCGAACACCTTGAAAGAGATTTTGAAAGGGATAGAAAACGCAATTTGATTACCAACTGCAGCTATAGTTTGAAACCAAGTGTTGTTCTAGAGAATGATTGCAGCCAGAGCGCACTATATTATGTTATTGAGTACTTTCATATCCCAACACTGACCCTAATTTACATCATCTTTGGCACTTCTTGTTTCAGTCTGGTGCACAGATCATTTCTGAGAAACCATAAGCGAAAACAAGATGGATGCGAGTGCCAGGGATCGACACGAGGTGGCTTTTCAAATGTGCAATAAACGATGTCCCCTCCGACCTTCGCAAAATTTCACGAAGTCCCCTATCAAATTGGAAACGTCGACTGAAAAAACCTAACCTAACTTATGTTTTTTCAGAAAACGATATACCTTCCCTTTTTTGTTCCAAAAACCATATCCAACTTGCTTATAAGCCACCTTTGGTCTACTCAGTGCACAGTTAGACCCTTTTTTTCCTAAATTTGGACATTTATGTTTGTGTACGTGTCCTTCGATTCAACTTGCTTGGCGTTGGGAGGCGGGGCTTCGTGGTCTAATTAAGGCTAGGTAGTGATCAGAAAGCACACGCGAAAAGATACGCAGACGGCGCTGCGGGCGCGAGCGGCCTTAATTAGGTCACAAAGCCCCGCCTTCCAGCCGCCAAGCCAGTTGATTCAAAGGTTACAGCTAGAATGGGAGTAGAACAATGGACCTTCAACGTAAACCCTTGTCCGTTTCCTTTAACTGTGATTAGGAGGACTAAAAATAGTTTTCTTTTATTTAACATCATTTGTTAACAGTAACTACCTGGAAGATCCTGAGACTTTTTCAGAAAAAAAAATCTGTTGCCTCTTACAATTAGATAACTTGTTGTAAATTATTTTCTTCTTATTAGTTGTAAATGCCTACTAACTTTAGAAATAGAGCAAAAAATCAGAAATAAAGAACATTTGACACTTTGACTGGTCGTATGATTGTGAAAGTTATCAGAATCGCCATTTCCTAAAGTGCAGCGAAGTTTTTATCAAACTGATCAAGTTGCAGAGAGGATTAATCTTCACATGCAAGGCACGTTGTAGTTTGCGATTTGCGGCAATCTGTCAATCAATTCGTTGATGAACTAATAAGGGAATTATATTGACAGTCGTGATATGTACCAGCTGCCCAAACAAAATTTATTTTTGCGAAAGCGATCCTGCGATCACAAAAATTATTGCCATCGTCACCTCTTCCACACTGCCTCAGTTTTGCATATATTTGATTAATATTCTGTAAGCAAGTAACCTTTGCAAACTATTGGAATTGTATCACTTTAATGATGGAAAATGCGATCGACTCTAACCCTTTCTCGATTCTATTTTCAAAAACTATACCAAAATCCTAATTATTTGCGAAATACGTTGTTTCATATCCATTTTTCTACATAGTGATTTTATGGTCTATTGATTAAATCACAAAAGTGTGACATAAAAAAAGACTATGGATATCACTTTCACTGGAACGCGACGATGGTGCACTTTAGAGCATTACGTGTCCATAATCTGCACGTTCACTTCTTTTTTTGTAGTGCTTTGTAAACCGCATTGAAATTTCGAATTTCCTTTTTCTCCACTACCGAGAACTACTCGTTTTCTTTTCTCAGAAATGATAATTATTTTGAACTACTTTTGCTGGACTATTACTTTTGATAGAAGACTTTCTATAACCAAGAGGAGAAAATATGACAAGGAAGCTACATAGTTCCTAAAAATATAAAGACTGTCATTGAAAAGTCTGGGATTCTTAAGGTATTATCTCAGCTTAGCCAATTCCACTCGTAGATGATACATATTCGCTAGAGAAACTTGAGTAATTAGTACTCGAGAACAGATAATCTTTCAATGTTTTCTTCTATCTACCGTCCTTTTCCGACCAGAAGCTTCAAGCGTAATGGGCTATCCATTGATCAAATTTTGTGTTTGTTATGGAATAGGTTTGGATTCTACAAAATGCTCAAACCAACTAGAAGCCTTACAGTATGTAAAAGGCATCCCGAAGTTTCGTATCAGTTGTCGACTAACCCTATGTATCGGTAGCAGCGAGATTTTTTTTTACAAATGGGACGAAAGAGTTTTTCTACTAAAGGGCTTGGCCAGAAAACCTCCCCAAAAATGACTCCGGTAATTTTGCAGGCCTAAAATCTTCATATTTGAGTAGAAGAGGGATGGCGGCAGCCAAGCTCCAGAAAATTTTTTTTAAAAAGCTAATCTGCGTTTTCTAAAAATAATTGGATTATTAAGCTATCTTCGAGTAAAAACGGGGCACTTGCGGAATTCACAAGTTTGTGAGGCAAGGCACATTTTCAAAATTCTCGAAGTTTACGCGCTACGCCTCAAAATTGAAAAACCGAGAAAAATGGAAAAAGATAAACCATTTGATTTTTGATAAAAGTCGTCTGAATGTGTAATCTTTCTCAGCTTTAAGGGTTCATCAGAGATTCCCTATGTGAAGCATAATAACTATTAGGTTGAACCGAAAGTATGTTCGCACCATTTTCAAAGATTCATAATTGCCTATCTTCTCAAGAAATTTGCACAATTTTTTACCGACAAGAGGAAATATGCACTTCAAGAAAGCAACTTTCTGATACCGAAATTGCAGAGATAAAAGCTGTAGAAGTAAACCACTCGAAATTTGATTTTTCTTTGTTGGGTTGCCAAAAATCTAAAACTTGCGCTAAAAATCGGAACCCGTGGTAATATAGGTTCTATGAGCTGCCCTTTGAATGGTTGAGCATTTCCATAAAAGGTTATGAATTTCGAGCAAGCAATTCCAAACGGCAGATTTGAGTTTTTTGACATTTTTCTCAACAATTATCATTATATCATTATAGAAAGTTATGAAATTTACAAATGGTGCGAACGAACTTTCGGTCCAACCTACTATAAACAAACAGAAACAAAAGGACTTTGAGCCCTTTGTGTAGGTGTGATTGTGATGTAACTTTAATGTATCAGCAAGCAAGGTTTGTGCATTTTCTTCTTTAGAACTTTCTAATCATTCTATAGAATGTACATTTGCTTCCCTTATGCCACAAGTTATAACGACAATCAATTCCGAGAACAAAGACTTCTTCAGTCCCTTCCGAGACTGAAGAAGTCTTTGTACCCAACGCGCATCGATGTGGCAGTCGCGAAAAGACAGCTACCGTTTGACATTTGAATCTCTATTGCAAGAGGAATACTGTAGCTGTGGTTTGCTGCAAAATGCGAGTAACTTCCTTCAACACTGGCCAACTGGATGTTCTACGTGCAACCTTCAACCTTCAACGTCCTTTTACAACGATTTTCCTAGTTTTTCTTCGTCTTCGCGGATGACAGCAGTGACGAAGGTGATGCTCAGTGAACGACTCTCGTTTGGTTTGTGTAACCCAAGTACTAGAGTGTTCCAGGCAAACTGAACGACTTAAAAATATTGTTTGCAGAGGGTCAATTAGCAATACGCTAAAGCAGATGCTATGATGCACAACACAAAACCATAACTGAGACTAATCGCCTAATCTGCAGTACATCTGCAACCACCAGTTCACCTTAAAAGGTAAACTCATTTCTAAGTTTCGGTATTTGGTTAGCAATTACTGAACTGAACTACCCTGCAAAAAATTTAGAAAAATGATGACTTTCCAGCATACAAAATCTTAGAAAGCTTTTTTCTGGTCTTTGAAAATTAGAATTTGTTGAAATCTCGTTCTGAAAGTTTCTTTTGTTGCCAGAAATGCACCTATATCGCAGGGATAGACAGTTGCTAGAGAAGGGCACTCGAGATTATTGAAGAGTTATTTGCGATAATGTAAGTAATAAGTTTTGGATTTGGCACAAAAAAGTCATCTTTTGGCTGGATCCCATAATCCGTGAAAGTTTTAGCATATGCAACGTCGACTACTGGTAATGCCAAAACCGAGATCATGTCCTCGTAGGCCCTAAAGATAAAGCTTAACAATGAAAATTTCAAGCACGTTTTCGGTGGAATCCAATACTTTACAATGCTAAATCTATTAGGTGTGCCAAAAGTAAACACCATTTTCAAATATGAGCTGTTTTGATTTCCTAACAGGCTTTGGGTACAATTCGATAGAGGGGAGAGTTCTACAAAAAAATCACCAAAGATCCACCTAAGTCGAAATCCGGGTAAAATTGGGATCCAAAAAACAAAATTTTTCAGCTACCCTAAAATTCGGATCTCCTTTCAGAAAAGTTCTACGGATTTCCAACTTGGTCTTTATATAAAAGACACATAGTAGTAATCAAAAATGTATTTGCTTGATTTTTTAGGAGCTCGAAATTGAGAAAAGATGGTCCGAAAATGCCATTTTTTTGGGGTTTTTCATGTAAAAAGTGGTACTTCTCGATTAGAAGAGCACATACAGGACTAAAGTTTCAAGATCATACTTAGTAAGGCTTGTAGTACACAATAACATATGTGGGAGGGGCAGGGGCGGAGTTTCCCATTTTTGGACTTTTTTCTTGCTTTCTATGCGCGATGAAAATCCAGTAAAGGCATATCGAAGTACTACTATGTTCCTAGTGTATAATAACCAAGTTGGGGGTCCGTAGGATTTTTTGTTGTACAAACCCAGCATTCAGGTGAAAAAATTCTTTTCGCTTTTGGCTTCAGACTACAAAAACAAATACCTATGACAAAAACAGCTTGAATTGTTCAAAAAAGGAGTTTGTTTTTGGGCAACCTAATGATGAGCTTGAGCCCGAATTCTAGCCTTTTTACCAACTCTCAAACTCAGTTTCAGCACATTTGAAAGATTGATGAAAGCTGGAAAGATAGGCTTATCTGGATCTTGCAATTTGTAGAAAATGTAAAGATTTAGCCATTGTACTTCTCCAAGGAGTTGGCTCACATATCAGAAACCGTTTCCATCTTCTGTAGTTTCCCCATCCACAATTTTTCCTTCTTTGGGTGTGTCTTTAAAATACACGCTGTAATTTCAAAAGCCCCTTTCCACACAATCATTCGCTTTCTCCGCCTCTGATGCGTCGCGGTGTCCTGATCGGATTGCGTCCATTTCAGCCATGCACACCTTGCCGATGCAACGACGAGAATATTCGCGACGTTCATGAACGTGCAGAAGAGGCGATTGTCTCGCCGAAGGTGCATCGTTTCTGATGTAATATTTGCATTCTATGAGATAACTGCTGCTGGAAACGTTCGAATATGAACATCCATTGTTTGCAGTGCAAGAAATCGATACCCGATGTGCTAGCAATTCCACAGTGACTGTAATGCAATGAGTACGAGTTTTTATGCGCCGAGGGGGAGTCAGCGCGTTTGTGATTGGAGCGCAGAGCTAGGGGCGGTGTGGATTACGGTCATTCGTTTATTGCTTGGGTGTGCTTTCAAGCAAGCTGCTCCAAATGCACATCTTACAAACATTTTGGTGTACCCCAAACATTTTGGTGTACCCTTCACAATGTTCTTCCCTGCACTAAGGACCGAGGGCAGTGCAAGCAAGCAAAAGCATAAAGTTTTTGCAAAGCAAGAAGCAATTCAGATAATAGCATTAGTATCTTCTTAATGACCCATTTCTGTATTGCTTTGTATGTTACATTGCTATTCTCTTCTACGCTATCAGTGTGACTGCTTCGCATTGTTTTTTTTTCAGACATTATCAATTCCTTTCCAAGCGATAAAGTAGTTCCTTGTGTAATCTGATTCAGCACTGAACTCTCCACTGCGGTCGATGCACCTGTCTCTTGTTTTGTATTTGTTCATGATAATCAATGCTAGGACTCCAAATGCAATGATGGAGAAAACATACCTGTTAAATAGACTGGATGCATATCGATCAACCAGCACGACTTCAGCCTCGTCATTATGTCAAGTGACGACCAATAGACATCTGCATCCTTATCAACATATTAACAGGTTGAGCAATGTTGAACAGGTTAGTACTTGTTAATCCTACCATTTATAAGGAGAACGTGCAATTGAGTACGATTCGATATGGTGTCCCCAAACTGCGCGCGGCGCCAGTCTCGCAACACGTTTATTACTCCAAAAGCGCTGCGGTCGCGCCGCGTTGTGCTGTGCTCTGACTTTTCTGCGTCTACACGAATGGGACATACTCTGGTTTAATTCGAGAATTTTCTTTGCTAATGTCGGTGAGTTTCAAAAAGTACGCAGTACGCATATTTTCGTTTATTTCTCGCAGCTTGCATACTTTGTCTAGTCTTGGCTCTGTCTGTAAGGTGAATTAACAAATACATTGCCAGCGTTTTAGTGTTCATATCAATATGCCCAGTACAAATTAGGGTTACACTTCTTTTCGTTTCTCACTCGAACTTTGCAAACTAGCGTGTAGATTGCAGACGGCTTTAGATTGCTTATTAAGCGGTAATTCACTTATTAATTGTTGTCTGTCCTTTGTGTTTGCTTGTTTATTTAGGAAGTTATTGTGCGTAGAAACAATCAACACGACATTCACGCTGTGGAAGTGTGTAATAAATCGTCGAGCGATCTGGTCTCTCGCCAACCTATCAGTATCGTGGGTTATCTGTTTTCACTATTTATGATCATTCATGCCTTTTTTTCTGAACATATGATTTGCTTGGAACCCTATTCAGTTCGCAACAATGCAAAATGGAAGTGCTCTTTTATAGTATTTAGGATTAGCAGAGTGCATGTGTACGAAGGTGCTTAAAACAACTTTTATAGTTTTATCTTTGCAGAAGGCTTGAAAATAACTGTAGCTATATGCTATAGGCAATTTTTTTCTCTGGGTTTCCACGCCACCCTCTTTCCGGTACTTCGAAACTTTTGTCTAGCATTCCATATCATCTTAAATCAATCCTTTAGGAACACTCATTCCTTTTGTTTAGCAGTTTTTCAGTGCTGATGATAAGGGAGGGCGGCGAAAGATAGGGATTAAAGAGAGCACTATTCCTTTCACAGAGTTAATAATTCGACCGGTTTTGTTTGCTCGCTGGACACATTCGTTTCACTTTCTGTAACAGATTGGGCAATGCGTCGGGGAGTTACAACTACAGAAAATCACAGCTGAAGTATTCTTTTATCAACTGTCTATCCATGGATTGCGGCACGTCGTAGGTTTTGCCTCAGATAAAAGTAGCTCTTAGGGTTCCAAAAATACCAAAATTCAGTGATTTTTTAGGAATAGTGCTTGAATTTGTAATGATGAATTTCTTGCCCACATCGAATCAGATGTTTACCGCGTTTGCACAGGTGATCGTTGATCTAAGGACAGTTTATACGCTGGTTAGAATGAGAGTGAGAGAGAACTACGCCGCGCACCCATGTTTCTCCCCGTTTTGCCGATCCATGGCGTTTGCATTTCGACTCATCACCATAACTTCCAGTCTCGTTGACTTTTCACTTTGATTGATGAACTTATTGATTTTTCTGATGCATTCCTCCAGTCGATGAACGTTTGAAGCGTGGCGCCGTTGACGGCGACGTGGAGGTGGGACGGACAGATATTTGTCGTTGGCACGTCGACGGTGAGATGACAGACAGGTATTGATCATTCGTCGGAAATCAGAATTTGTTACACCTACACTCACATACACTATAGCTCCGACCCAGCGACTGGCTGGTGACATGTGTTGTGCGAGCCACATAGACCGTGCCCAGCCAGTGGTTAGGGTCAGGTGTTTTATATGCGTCTTTGAAATGAGCATGTTCTTCTAGCTCACAAATCTGAACGCCTCTAGACGCAGTATACGTCGGTTTCAAACGCGGTGGCCTATTCATTTTCTGCGGGTGCGGCCTTGGAACTACGGTACGGTAGGCATATGTGTGCTTGTGGTACATGACTACTATATATACTATGTGCAGGTATATATACTATGTACAGTTTCTACCTCACTGTTCTTGTTTCTTACCTCAGCTAAAGAAATATCTGGCCAGTCGTGAGCGTCATTGAATTCTATAATTACCCTGTAATAGTGGATATGTCAACACTTACGCATACTGTATTTTCTCTGCTTCTCCTTGAGCAATTTTTGCTGATCTCATTTGTACATCAGCTTAGCTTGGAGCTACTGTCATCTGGTAGCTACAGTATCCAGGTTAGCATCTCAGACACCTAAGTGCACTCTTCTTCAGGTCTGCCTGAGTCTCACTAGACAAAACACCCGAGTTGCTTTCAATAGGAAGCAAACCGTAACGAAAGGGTGCCCCAACACTTGGTTCCAATGGTCCTTCGTCTATTGCCGTCTGCCGCCAGCAGTGACTCGGCTATCCTTCCACTTACGTCCAACACCTATATTCATATTTTGTATTTTCTACGTCGACGAAGTTGAACGCACCACTGGAAAAACCTGGCTTCGCATGGAAAACCCTAATATACACTTGGTTTCCCTGTTTGCGAACTTCTAGGGAGGTCTGGAACTCCGAAATCACAACAACTGTGCTGGAAACTGGCAAGCATCTGTATCATATGTGCATTGTATTTCATGTTTGCTATGCATATCATTTTATGCAAACTCCAGGTATCTCATTTTCTATGCTTCTCCGGTAAAAATTCTATTGAGCGTCTGGCTGTCCTTCCCTTCCTCAAAAATTCGATTTCTGATTGGTAGGAGACCATCAACAAGTACCCTGAGTGTACTTTTATTTTTGTACAATTGATGTGGTTGCGCAGTTGATTATGGAATATTGACATCTTTGAATTTCTCTTCAGCATTCTCGTACAAACAGCACGAAACGTCCAATACTTTTTTGAATTTAAAATTCGGAAAATTTTCAGTACACAGCTCTGTCGTCTCTTCAAGTCAGTATGTACCTTGGAATGGTGTTTGAGATGGTCGGTCATGCGGTAGACAGCTGTAGAGGACAGCTTGGTGGTAGTGCTTGGTTCTCTTGCGTTCCAGATTTTATGAAGTCGAAATGCTCGCTCATGCTAGGATGACACTTGTCCTTTTTTCCTCTACTTAATGATGCGACATTACTGCTTTCTTTAGCTGCTGCGGCTGGTGGTATGATCAGTTTGAATAGGGCGCCTTCACAAATAAAAATTCTATTTTTATTTTTGAATCCCTCCATCTAACGTGTCTACTGAAATTTCTTTACGCTGCTTCGCCACTGTTCTCGGAGAAAGTATTTCATAATTTTTGCAATAGTAAGAGTCTGATACGCGCTCTATGCAAGATAGACTTGCACAGTACAAACTTGATTCACAAAATACGTCTTACTGCATCTAACAGATGAAGAATGAGAAAGAGCGAAAAAAGTGCGGTTTCACCAATAAAAGACCGTTAATTCTATGATTTATCAGTTAGGGTTTTTGATGCATTCAGACGGAATCGTTCTTGACTAGCGATGAGTTGTCCGTCATGGTTTCTCGATAACGTTGTGGTGAGATTCTGTTCACCCAAGACAACTACGCTTTTGAACTTTGACTTTTGGAGGAACTATATCTGGCAATTGGACTGCTCGCAGAGGGCTTTTAAAGAAGCCAAAGTAGAAATTGACCGAGGTCATAGATACTCCTCACTTATGTACTTCTTTTTTCATGCATAGTACGATTACGGTAATCCAAAATCTTTGCAAGTTGCCAAGTATATCTCACCTACTCAATTAGGCTTCTTATACCTTTAATCACCCTGCAACATCTCTGACTACCTTAGGATAGGAGTTTGTGTTCTTCTTTCTTTCCAAGAAACTTCTTAAGTTTCCACTATTTTTTCCCGCAGAGCAATAACAATACTATACTTGTCATTCTTTTCTTATGGAACACTCATCGATTGATGCTTAATTGAATTCAGAATATGTGGATGTGTTCGCTTCATATGTGTCGCTTGTTCAGGCGTTCCCCATTTATTGCTTTGACAACCATGAAATATGATGTGCTGATGCAAATACGTCGCCACGTCCTCAGGTATTCGGTAGGGGCATCTGCCCCATCTACCCAGTTGCATACTCAAGAATTTTTGTAGCTCATATATAGTACTTTAACCCAAACCAGCCAAAAGATACACCATAGAGGTAGATGGTAGATAAGCTAAGCTTGCTACTATTGGTCTTTGAGAATCCCTTCCATCGTCAGGTATCTATATCAGATGCGGAACCAAATGTGTGATTTTGGGAGCAAAAAGAAAAAACTAGCCTTCATTGAATGTCACTGATAAATGGCCTATTATTGCTTATCAGTCTTGAGAAAACAAAACCCGCCGTCCGTATCGACGCCCTAACAGTCTCGGTCACTTCCTTGATTTACTGCAAATTTGTGCACTTCCTTTGTTTATCTGCATTTTATCCTCCATACTCGTGTATGACTACTAGAAGGTGTAAAGCCGTCTCCCTTCCATTCATTTTGCTGATGAAAATGCCTAGTCTTCACTGATTTTGTTCTGGTTATTATTAACTTTAGAAAATCCAAAAGTTGGATAAGCTGACGAATTTTAATAAGCTGCAGCGAAAAAAATTGTGAAAATCTGGATATTTGCATGTTTCTTCGCTTCTCTAGATGTTATATAAACGTCAAAGAACGTGAATTTTATAAACAACACTCTTAGTGAAATAAGCTCTGGCACGGCCATAAATCCGAATCTTGCTCTATTTTATCTCAGCTGGACTGATGATCTTCCGGATCGTTATCTCAGAGCAATGATAGTTGATCCCATCGTCTGGTCATACGATCGTCTTGACACAGTGCGCTGACCATGTATCGTCCATCCTTCAGCGTGCCTATGTTTCCATGCAGTTCCCAGTAGGAATACGACTTCGAACTCAACAAGCCAGTACTCATAACTTGCTTTTTCGTGTTTTCATGCTCTTTTCAGTTTCATCAACTTTCTATCTTGCTTTTATCACGTCTTTGCGTGTGTTCTCCACGTTTTTTTTCCAAAAACCATATCACCAGTATTTGCATTCCAGGGTAACTATGCGGTTGTTAACAGCTATTCCCTATCGTCTTGTCAGTGCTGTCCAATGCGGTGCAGCTCAGCGGACTGGGCTTCGAATGCTGGCTACGGCAACTCAGGCAAAATCCAGCGGGTGGGTATTTTCCCCCAAAAAGACTTTTTCGGACTATTTTTCTCTATTCTAGGCCGGTGGATGAACGCGAGAGTAAAGAAATCTACACTACCATAGGAATCGACCCCAACGAGCCAAAATTCGACAAAATTCTCATAGCCAACCGAGGTAAGACCGGGGGGTCGGTTCGCACTGCAAAAATGATAGCTGTCATTGTTTAATCGTACTTCACCACAGACAGGCACACTTTTGTGTATACTGCCAATGCTTACGTGAGCACAGCTGCAGAATTGTTTCGCATCACATCGCAGGATTATTTGTATTGATTATGAAATTTTCATAGCATTGCCGTGCATATCATACATGGAAGCTGTGATGGTGAACTAGGAAGGGACTGGAAAGGGTAGTGAGAAGATTTAAGTGGTCCTGACAAATCATCCCATCCCGCATCAAATTTGTTCTACATGCGGACTGGTGGAATATACGTGTTGTCTCAGTGAACAAGTCACAAATAACGATTTAGTAAATGGCGACTGTCGGAATCAATCAGCGTAACCTGATTGATTATAGTCTGTCAGTCGACTGCAGGCATTGTTGATCACTTACCATGTCATACTTGAGCCTGCTCAAGAGCAAGACGAGGGGTTTGCACTGGTTTGGTTTTCGAGCGCTGAACTATTGAAGGGGTCTCAAGAGGGTGACTCTACACTTCATTTTAAACCATCTTGAACGTGACCCAAACGAAAAACACTCCGAAAAACTTCAAGATGCTTCTAAATTTTTGCGGCTTGTAATTCCGGAGTTTCGAAAAAAAGGGCTTGATTTGGGTCTCAAAGAATGTTAGGAATTATGCAAATTGTGTTCGAGTGAAAACAAGTCATTGCAAAATTTTATGACTCATTTGAGTAATGTTCAAAAATTTTGCGGCTTGTTACGTGTGGTACTCCGAGACGAGGGCTATTCGCACACTAGTGGCGGACCGAGGGGGCCTTTCCCCGAGAATGGGTCGAGAAATTCTTGAAATTTTTTACATGGGCTATAAAAGTGTGCAAGTAACTTGCTTATTCTTGAAAATAATTGAAATAATTTTTAAAATTTTTCAAACACCTAAATTAGCCTTGTAAAAAAAGTTTTCCGAAGCGTGGCTCCTCCTTTTTCTTAGATTTTAGGGATCTTGAGCCCGCAAAAATTTTGAAAAGCAAGCCAGAAATGTTGCGGGTGTGACTTACGCCACGCAGCTTCATTTGAAAAAAATTTTGCCCCTCTCCCCCTGGACGAAAATCCTGCGACCGCCACTGTCGCACACATACATGTTTTGGCCAACCTACGCATTGAAAAACAAAAATTTTAACCATAAGATTATTGTGTGACTGAAGTGGTGCAGAATGTGGCTCTCCCTCTTGTAAGTGATGGAGATTATCGATTTCCTTGGATTCAGTGAATTACGATATTTCAAGAAAGGAAGGGAACTACACTTTTGCTTCAAACCAGTATTGGATTTGAAATAATGATAATACATGATTCTTCGCAGTCTTTACTCAACATATATACAATGCACTCGGGGCATCATGTATCTGAGGGAATAATATAACAAGCAGCTTGGACTAATTATCACTTCAAGACTTCAGAGCTGAGCTATATGATGGTCCGGAAGTTTCAGACACAAATTTAAGAGCATGAGTTTCTTTTAGGAGAGATCGCATGCCGTGTCATCAAGACAGCCAAAGCTATGGGCATCAAGACCGTAGCTGTTCACTCCGATGTCGATTCTGGTTCCCTCCACGTCAAGATGGCTGATGAAGCAGTATGCATTGGTCCTGCACCTACCAGTGAATCATACTTGAGAGCTGACAGAATTTTGCAAGCTGTCAAGGACACTGGTGCCCAAGCTGTAAGTACCCTCACTTTTTATGCATAGTACGTTATTGCGCTTTGCTAATTTAGGTCCACCCTGGTTACGGTTTCCTGTCCGAAAATACGAAATTCGCTGCCGAATTGGAGAAAGCTGGTGCTGTATTCATTGGACCGAACTCGAAAGCTGTCCTGAGCATGGGTGACAAGATCCACTCGAAACAGATTGCCACTGCAGCAAAGGTGCTGTTTTTCTAGAGTTTTTCACGATGTCACTTGTCTGTAAAGTGGCTGTTGAGTTGAAGTAATGTTCTTCGAGATTTGTTTGCTCGCGACGCAGCTAGCAAGCTTTGTCTCGAGGATGAGTTATTGTGGGGATTTGATATCTGTTGATTTAGGTGAACATGATTCCCGGATTCGATGGTGAGATTGAAGATGAGGATATGTGTGTAAAGGTAATTTATTTCGACATAACAAAAATGCACAAGCGCGGAAAGAAAAACCCGAAAACATCATTAAAGCAGATAAAACATGCAACTTTGGCAGTTGAAAGATAATTCCGTCGAGATAATAATAGTAAAACTAACTTATGATACTACCGCTGTCGATACTAAAAAAGGACAAGGCAGATGTTCTCTTTTTTTTCAGATTTCGAATTAGTAAATCTAGTCTGATTTCAGTATTATTACGCTAGAATAATTTCAATTAAGTAAGAATCTGCTGCATTTCACATAAAGGTTGTAGTATATTGTCACACTCTTAGTAGTTTAGTAATTGGTAGGAAGCCGTTTTTGCAAAAATTCAAGAAGTGGTTTTTCATGATAGCATGTTTGACAGGGACCGATTCTACGATTCCATCGATATGTAAGGCAGATTCCATACTTTGACTGCAGTGGCGGTCCGAGAAAAAAAATTTTGGGATGTTTTCCAGAATTTTCGAGGGCTTATGGTAGCGGCAGCACGTTTTTTCTACAACGCTAGTGAATTTACAAATTTTCTAGAGGTTTTGTTTACAGTTAAAAACAAGTCCTAGCACAGTCCTATATGCTCATCAAAATTTTTCCGCAATCGCTTAGCAAGAGCTTTTAACGGACTTCAACATTCAGTGTAATGCTGCTTTATAGCTCTTCTATACTTGGGGTTGCAGCAATTCTGTTAGGCCTAAGGCATACTTCACGCGATACCAAATCGCGACGTCCACGCGACTTGGCATTCTGCCAGATTTTCACAAATTCTTCGTGGTCGGTTTTCAAATGCATAGACGCGTAGCTTTTGTGAGTTGTTGCAAACGGATCAGGTCCTGTTCAAACAGAGGGCGGTAACGACCAATTACGAACAGTCGCTTCTGTGCCGAATCGCGCAGGACTGAAATCGCGTGAGGTATGCCTTAGGCCTTAGAGCGATCTGCAACGTACGAAAAGTTTTTTTCGCAATAGCAAATATAAAAGTAGTCGACAATCGCGTATTGTTTATGTTGGAAGCCTAGGTCATAGTACCAACAATAAGCTGCCTTCAACGTTGTTATGGAACAGAAGCCTTGTCAGCACTTTGACTGCACTAAGCAAGATTTATCTAAGCAAATGTGCTGAGTCAGCAACCCAATTTTGAGAGTTTGGCTATAGTGGTCCTATGAGCATACAAAAGCAAATCGAATCTGATTGGCATGATCTCTATACTTTGGATAGTTTATACAAGCAGAAGATAAGGCTTAGGAGATGTGAAATACCTCAGTAAGCTGACTTTGTAGGTAGCTAACGATATCGGATACCCAGTCATGATCAAGGCCTCTGCTGGTGGTGGTGGAAAAGGTCTACGTATCGCGTGGAACGACAAGCAAGCTCGTGATGGTTACAGGTAGGCTATTCTCACTTATGACTAGAGATCTTTGAGTTAATTTTAAATTACATTTCAGGCTCTCCAAGCAAGAGGCCAAGTCCTCATTCGGTGACGACCGAATGCTTGTTGAGAAATTCATCGATAACCCAAGACATATTGAGATGCAGGTGGGATATATCTCAGACATTTGGTTGTTTTATGCTTTTAAGATGACGATTTGAAATGGGTTCTGATTTTTTTCTTGAAGATCCATCTGAGAATCTGCTATTGTTGTAGGTCCTTTGCGATAAGCATGGTCATGCTATCTGGTTGAACGAGCGTGAGTGCTCTATTCAACGACGTAACCAGAAAGTGATTGAAGAGGCTCCAAGCAGCTTTGTACCGCCAGACATGCGAAAACGTATGGGAGAACAAGGTGAGTTTGATTCCCTTCATTATTGTTTTCAAGTTTTGCGGTACTTCTGTACAATATTATTTTTAGCCACATCGCTTGCCCTCGCTGTTGGTTATGATTCTGCAGGAACCGTGGAGTTCTTAGTTGATTCGAAACGAAACTTCTACTTCTTGGAAATGAACACTCGACTTCAGGTTGACTTCCGAGGTTTATTAGGCTCTAGCCATCTCACTCATGGTCATTATAGGTAGAGCACCCGATCACCGAGTGCATCACAGGAATTGACATTGTACAACAAATGTTACGAGTAGCCTACGGACACCCCCTGCCACTTACTCAGGACCAAGTCCCTCTGAATGGCTGGGCTTTCGAGAGCAGAGTGTACGCTGAGGTTTGTGATCTTCGATTGCTTTCCTGCATTTCTGAGCAAGAACAAATTTTGCAGGATCCTTACAAAGGTTTTGGTCTGCCATCTATTGGACGATTGCACAAATATGTTGAGCCACGCCACGTCCCTGGAGTACGATGCGACTCGGGTATTCGTGAGGGCTCTGAGATCTCTATCTACTACGATCCTCTGATTTGCAAAGTTTGTTTATCGAATCAGTGAAGAAGCATATGCTGTTATTTTTTACCTATGTTCCAGCTTGTTACCCATGGTAAGGACCGTAACCAAGCCTTGGATAGGATGATTGAGGCTCTGGATAACTACGTCATCCGAGGAGTATGCGTCATGATCTTAGTTCCGTATCACTTCTTTATTGACTCTTCACTTTTAGGTCACCAACAACATTCCTCTGCTTCGCGATATCTGTCAGGAAAAACGCTTCCGTGAAGGAAACATCACCACCAAGTAGGCATTGAAAAGTGTTTCGTTGTGCCTTCGTTTCAAAAATGGCGTATAGGTACCTTCCCGAGACATACCCAGAAGGCTTCCAAGGTGCTTCCCTGAACGAGAAAGAAGAAGATACCCTTATGGCTGTGGCATGCGCTCTGAACGCCCGAAAGCTTGCTCGTGCCAGTGACTGGAAGAACCACACCAAGAACCAGATTCTCAAGACACCACCATACGAGCGAACACACACGTGCGTGATTTCACATCTGTTTTATATGTTAGCCCTGATTTATGCGACTCTTCTAGGTTCACTGTGCAATTACCCGGACCCGAGGGAAAAGTGAAGAGAAGCCACAAAGTCAGTGTCTACTTCGAAGATGGAGATGAGGAGAAGGCTAGGGTAAGATTAGCCTACCTAGATTGGTTTACCAGTCTCCTATATGAACAAATGCAGGTGCTTGTCGATGGACACAAATTCGAAGTCAACGGCAACTTGCAATTGGCCCAACCTGTTCTCCAACTCAACACCGGAGATAAGATTGCGACCCAAATTGTCTCAAAACGTGCTGGAGAAATCACCATCCTTTACAAGGGATCACCTTTCAAGGTAAAGGTGATGCCCGAGCAAGCCGTTGAGTATCTCAAATACATGAAGGAGAAGCCAAAGGTTAGTGGATTCAGACTGGTGTTAAGGATTATTATAGTTTTCACTTGTAGCTTGATCTGTCATCCGTCATCCTTGCACCTATGCCTGGCGCAATCAAGAATGTGACATGCAAAGTTGGTGATATGGTTAGCGAAGGACAGGAACTGGTCGTCATAGAAGCTATGAAGATGCAGAACAGTCTGAATGCTGGAAAAACTGGAAAGGTAAGGGTTGTGTGTGCACTAGGAGATTTTCGAAGATAACTATGAAATTCCCGTTACAGGTAAAGACTGTCAATGTAAAAGTTGGCGACACTGTTGATGAAGCACAAGTATTGGTGGAACTCGAGTAGAGAAATTGTTCGTAGATGTTAGCAGATTATATGCATTTCGTGCCTTGTGGGATCTATGGTTCCCCGACTTATTGGTGGTCATAAAGTATTGCTCGTTCAAATTTACTGGTAGTGATGCCTCGGTTTGTTATCCTTTTATCTAAGTCTAGAGTATCTTTGATTAAATGTATAGATTAGGATTGAGCTCCATGTATTCTGCTGCTGCCATACAGTTGCATCTTAAAACTGAGATGAATTGTTGTTGGGGAATAAAACATTTTCTTTGATTAGGCGAGAACGAGTCCGCATAGTTATAATCATTTACCTTTAGCCTTGTTTCAGCTAACACTTCAGAGTCGTTATGTTTGTGAGGAAAGCATGAGATAATTGCAAAATGAGAAGTGATTCAAATCAGACAAAACATTACCAAAGTTGAAATTTTTTATGAATAAGGAGGTAATGCTGAAGGTAATTGAGATGCGAAGTCCAGCATGAACCAAAATTGGATTTTCACACTCTGGTTTCGTTCAATACAAGTTCAATACATGCACAATCACTATGGTGCAGATGTGCGATGCTAGTTTGATAATTTGGAGGCTGATATAGTGCCCTGCGGTGACGACAACATTTGCGTGGAAACAAATATGCTCATCACTGACAGTTGGCTAGTGACTTGCGCGTAAAAACGGCTTGAAGTGCATATTGTCATGGATGCGCAGTTTTCATGGAGAAAGTAAAAACACGACATCAGTTGTTCAAATCACAAATTAGAAAAAGTCATTAGCTTGAATTGACAACAAGGAAGAAATTTCTCAGTGCTTACAATGTGGTTTAAAAAGTAGATGAAGGGGATAGTAAAGGATATCTGGTACAGTATGTTGAATTGTCCATGAAAGATGTGAGCTCATTGCTTCTGAGAAAGAGACTACGAAAATGAGCGCGTGTGGAAGACGAATGGATCAGCGAAGGATCGGTTGTACCAAACGCGCCGAAGACTCTGCAGAACATTTATAGGAGACTGTTCAGTATGAGCACTAAAAGCTGGAGGAAAGATATAGAGGACAAACTTTGCAAACGATTCAAATTGAATTTAATGGGCATTTGAGTGGTCGCAGTTAAAGCCGCACAAAAGTGCGCTCAAATGTCGCCTGGCGGACTCGTTGATAACGCAGCTGAATCCTAATAATTTGTTATTTTTACATCATAGTAAAAATTAAGATTGGGCAGGTATTTCGATACCTGGTCGTGAGCTGAAAATGAAGGTGAAAATGATATCACGGAATCCTGACGATTATCAAAGAGAGACGAACAAAGATATCTACAAAAGTGAGTTTCTGATATATATCATTGTTTATATGATTGTTTGTTTTGATATCTAATAATTCTCTTTATCTTGTCGTTTTTCAATCATGCCCAATGAGTTTTCCTTTTCTAACAGTCAAAAGTTTTTGAAAGTTCTGGCGTTGTTCCTCACTTGTTGAACCGAAAACCGAAAACTGAAATAGTGGATCTTGTTGTAACTCTTAGAAGGGTTATCCGGCACACTGGTCACAAATATCATATTGCTCTCTCATGGTAGCGCCTACGGTGTGTATAAGAATGAAAGAGGTTATTCAGTACGTTATGTTAGTCGTTTCAACTCCACCCCAGTTTGTTAGTTTGTAAATTTTGTATATTCATATATTCCATAGTGCTTGAACATCAGCAAATTATCTTACTGTACCTTATAAATTTGCATTTGTTTCTTACAGTCGTTCGTAACTGGAATGCTCCACAAGATCCATTTCGTGCTCAGACTGAGTATACTCGTGCGCTCAATGCCACTAAGTTGGAGCGAGTCTTCGCAAAGCCATTCGTTGCGAGTCTTGACGGTCATGTTGAAGGTGTACACATACTAGCGAAGCATTCGAGTAAGTGCTTGAACATACTAGTGGCCGTTCAAATTTCTGTTATTTTTTTGTCTCCATTATGGGATTGACAGCCGTTATCTTGTTGTCGTGTACATTGATATCGTTCCATAGTTTTTTTGAAGTTAAATCTCAGAAACTGATCTTGCAATTAAGTTCTGAGCGCTTGCTGGTTTCGGAATGTCATAGAAAAATTATGCTTTCTAGATCGACCATCCATTATCTTGTCTGGCGCTCGAGATGGTCAAGTAAAAGTATGGGCTTTGGCAAGGCGACACTGTCTAGCAACTTTTCAAACGCACAATGGGCCGGTCAACGGTTGGTATACAAAGTCGTTTTCGTTTATGTTTTTTCTTACCTAACAGTTTGTCTTTTTGTCGATCACGTTAATGATCAACGTCTTAATTTGCTGCCTTCTCTCCCGAGCGTTCCTCTGTGTGCACATTCTTTCATCATCATTTTAGGCATTTCTATTGATGTCGCCGCGGACAATAACTTTGTGACTGTCGGCCAAGACTGTACTATAAATCGATGGAGACTACCACACACTTCAAATACTGTTGGTGGAGTCATCTGTAAACAAACGGATTCGATAAGTCTTGACGGTAAGTGCGCAGTTTAACAGTTACTATTCCATTTGCGATTCTTAGGTTTGCTGCAGTCTTCCTCCAGTCTTTCTAGAGTCTTTTTATAATTAGTTTCTAACTTCATTTGAGAATAGAATGGTTCTTTTTGATAGTTTCTTCGAAATTATTAACATTGGAAGTTTGTGGTAGAACCCGAAGTCGTTTGACTGTCCCTTACAATCCAGTGACTGACGAAGACGTTTGTCATGGGACGTGCTAGTCGAGATTCACGCATGACCAGTGATCTCCAATAGTGTACTTACAAAAACATGTTTCAGGCGTTGCTCATGCCGTCTCTCATCTGGCTAACTCCTCTGAATTCGTTACCTGTGGTGATGGCGTCACTGTATGGGGAGCTCAGGGGTTAGCTGTGTTTTTTTTTTTGAACTATTTGAATCATCCATCCGTTTGCAGGAACAAAAGGATACGAGAGTACGATGTTGGACATGACACAGTCCACACAATACGTGCAAATCCAATCGAAGAAGCAGTCCTAGTGGGTGCATGTAGTGATCGCTCGATTTTCGTGATTGATACACGACAAGCTGTACCGTTGACAAAGGTATGGTTTGTGACTAATTTCGAATTTGATGCTACGCATAGTCTATTAAGGTTACTATGAAGCTACGACCCAATCAAATTGCTTGGAACCCAATAGAGCCGTACACATTCTCAGTAGCCAGCGACGATTACAAGTGAGTCACCCTAGGTTGAGATCCGCTTATTTTTTTGACGCATAGTTGCTTCTATGTAGCCTCAGATGGATTACACAGCGTTATTTAACTTGACAGATGATTCCATAATGGATTTGCCTTTTAGCTTGTACACATTTGATATGCGCTTCCTTGACAATCCGAAGTACCTCCATACTGGTCATACAGCAGCTGTTATTGATTTGGACTACTCTCCGACTGGTCAAGAGATAGTATCCGGTTCTTTCGATAGGTCTGTCCGGATATTTCGCGCTAATGAATCGAGGAGTAGGTAAGTACTACAGGCTAAATGGACCTTGCACTTGACGATTGTTTGTTACAGTTTTTCTTGCTTTCTAGAGACGTTTATCACACCAAACGCATGTCCAATGTACTGTCTGTGTTATGGTCAATGGATAATAAGTTCGTACTTTCTGGTAGTAATGAGATGAATGTACGAGTATGGAAGGCTAGAGCTGCGGAGAAACTTGGTCCGGTAGGTCTTAACATCACAGTTTTGTTGGATTTTTCCCTACTCGCGTCCCGTATGACCACACAATAGTTGTTCTCATACCAATAGTACTTCTTTTTAGCATTTTTACTTCCTTGATTTTCATGTAACTGATGTGATTTAGCTCGCACCGCGTGAGAAAGCTGCGTTTGCCTATAGCGAGAGGCTCCGTGATCAGTTCAAGGAACATCCAGAGATTAGACGGATTGCTCGGCACAGGAATGTACCGAAAAGCATACTCCAGTAAGTTTTTATCATTTCAAAGTTTCTCATCATTACTTTTACCTCTAAAATCCTATGAAATCGCAATTTAGTGCGAGTCGTGAACATGCGACCATACGTGCATCACAATCACGCAAAGAATTTAATCGACGAAAAGCTGAAGGAATCAAAGATGAGGAAGTGGAGTTCGTCCCGCAAGTCAAGAAATCTATGGTTAAGAAGAGCGCCGAACCCTTGTAACATAAGTGCTGTTCTTTATCATTGTTATTTCGTTGATTTCATTGTTCCAAATCTGTTAAAATTTTATTTCTCACATAAAAAGTTGAAAATGAAGATCACAATAGCAGTGAGATTTTGTAGATAATTAAACAATCACAGAATGTTGTATACAGAATGCCTACATGTGTCCCGTTCACAAAAATAGTATGAATTCTAAATTTAACCTACCAACCAGTGTTAAGATGAGAAGTTTTGTGTAAAGCAATGCTTCTATGTGACCCTTATTCATCGAATCTGATTTGTTATCTTTTAGCAGCGACTTCTGGTAGCTGGTCCTTGAGTGGTTGTGGTATAGAGTTGATATAATCCTGAAATGTGAAGTCCTTAAGTACAGTAGGGAAGAAAATCATTGCTATGATAGCACATGTACAGTCTGTCCCAATCCCAATCGGGCCAAAATTGGAATGACGGGCGCCCGTTCGCCAGAGTTTTGCGTAACGCCTACGACGTTCTTGTCTGCACTCTCTCTTCACTCTCTTTGCTCCCTCCGACAGTGCGCATATGCAGCGCAAGCCCTTAGCGCCGCGCGCAAATCTAAACCAACGTTTCCGCCTGATCGCGTTCGGGACTGTACGTGTATCATAACAACCACTACTGATATAAAGACTCCTTTAAAATTTTCTCTGATTAGAATTAACTTGACATCATTTTTTATATCTTAGAGTTGTCCGAACTCGAATGTCACCGAGACACCTATGACTATGAGCAATACGCACAGTGAGTAAGAAATGGCTAAAGCTCGTGCGTTTGCAAAAGAAAAAACCTGAAATGAACGGGTTCTGTCAAGGTCCTCACTCAAGTGAATTCTGGGGGGCGAGGAGGGGGATGGACGCTTACGAAACAAAAATATGCTACCTACCTCATGCTTTACCCAAGGAGCCGAAGCTACCACACCACCCGTGTTATTACGTTGAACATCAGCGTCATAATGTAAATCTCTGCCAGATATATCTGTGAGTCTTCCACCTAGAAAGTACAAACTTTTGAGTATCTATAGAATGCGTTACCTCGAAGAGGAAAGTTTGCACATGAAAGCAAGCACTTGCCTGCAGCAGTGAGAACTGCCTCGACCGCGCATGTATCCCATTTTTTACATCCTTGGCTAGCGAACACGTACGCAGCACAGCCTTCCAAGACTTTTAGTACCTGAATGGAAACGCCGATTATACAACTAGTCATTGCAGTCCCAGATAAGCTATATTTAGGTCATGCAATGTCCACTGGCAAGCATTATTGGAAAATCCTTATTAGAAGAACAGTAATAATCATACCTTTGAGATGGGTTCTCAAGTTATATAATTATTATGAATACAGTAGTACTAACCTTGAATCCGGCTCCACCGAACTGTTCCACACTGCTCGCCAAGCCCTTTTCCTTGAGCGCATTCAGTGCATCCAGAACATTTTGAGTGAGGTGACTCCTAGTAGTGACGACAACTCGATTGGTTTGAGCTGAAGCCAAGACACTGCTCAACATGGTAATGCAAAACCTGATAATTTACCATTTGCAGGTACTATGCCATGTACTCCACATCCTTTTATAGCCCATATAGTACGACCAGATCCTTTATGATAAGGTTGATGTATAACACCGGCCACTGGTCGCCCTCGGTAGGCAATGCCGATTAGAACAGTAACTTGCTCGAGCAACGCTATAAAAGTCAGTTATTTCTAAAGAATAATGCATGTGGAACTCACTTTCATCTTTATTTTTCACAGCGAAGGCCACTTCCGAAGTGCCGTCTAGAGGATCAACCCAAACCACAACCTACAATGCATCAACATAGCAATGAAAACGGATGGCTGAGATCTGGAACTCTTACCTCTTCAGGTTTTATTGACTTTAGATCGGTGCTTATTTCGTCTTCTACCCGAAGAACGTCAGCAGAGAATGTGTTCTCTACAGTATCAGAGTCAGCATGGATATCCTAGAATTTTTCTTTTCAAAACAAAGAAAGGCACGTTTTGTAACCAAAGCTGGAGTGACAATTCCCTCCACAAAAAATATGCAATCAATGAAGATCGAAAGCTTAAAATCTAGATTCTACTCTAGAATATACACCCAAATGAAAAAGCTCGCTGGCTAGAACTTTGCATATAGGGGGTCACTTGACATGCCGATCGCGAAATTAATAAAAATTTTGCGTAAAGGAGCTGTTGTGGGATTGCGGTAGGCCTACAGTAGGGAGTCAATCACGATTGGTTGAGATTTGATCTAGGATGTTATTCGACATGGTGATCATGAAAATCACTCTTTTTCCCGCACATCCTCCTGTAATGGTTACGATACGTGTACGGTAGAGGGTAAAAAATCACCGACTGTGGAACTTCGCCTATGTGGATTATTTCGCAACAATTGCTGAGCTGGATTAAGACGGGGACAATAGTTCTTAATAAGCTTTCAAGCTATATGAAAGACACCTGGGCTCACAATAAATCAAAAATTATAAACACTATGCAAAGAAATCTGGTGTACTCACTTCTTCTCCGATGATATGTATACCATTGAAACGTTCTGACAATGATTTTACGATAAGAAATTGTGCGCGACGATCGGCCTCTGTCTGCGGATCTGCCGGTTCTCCATCAGCGCTTTTGTCGACAATTTTCAAGTCGCCTCCGGCCATCACATTCTGAACAGATTAATATATAAGGTGCTGATACTTCACATTATAGGGAGAAGTTATTACCTTGATGGTAGCTCCAGCAGCCTCTGAAACTCGTACTGAAGATGCGACGAGACGTGTCAAAAATGAAGCCTTGTTCCACATATCTGTCTCGTGCATACTATCAAGACTGAAATAAATACTTGGGATTTTTTAGAAAAGATCTGTTAGCCTAAAAGAGGTAATTTGTATTGACTTAAATCATGTGATAAACTTTTCCAATATTGAATCTCAAAAAAACTCATGGGATTAAAATTCGAAACGAAAAGCCACGCACTTTAATTGGAAAAATCGGTCGCCAACTAAAATCCGCTGCCACGCAACCTTTCCACATCGTCTGCAACTACACCAATAATCCAAAATACAGTCCCACACCCCCCCCCCCCCCCGCCGGGGGGGCATCTATTCCGGAGGGCAAGCGTTAGGCGACAAAACGTGCAAAACGAATCAACGTAAAGCCCGTAAGTCAAAACTATGTGCAATTTTCTTTGATGGCGTCGAGTAATGTATCGGCCCCGACCCCCACCCCCCTGTTTTTGGCGGAGGAGACGTTTTGCATGGGGAGTTATTTGGGGTCCAAAAAATCGGATTTGTCGCCTAACGCCCTACACCCTCTATTCCTACCGGGCTGGCTGCGCGAGCGGTCCGCGCGCGGCCGCCAAGTGACCGTGGGGCGCGCAAACCTTGCCATCGCAAACCTTGCCACCGTAATAAATTAGCGAACTATTTTTCCGGTGCCCGCCCGCCCATAAATCGCATGGCCGCCTGCCCCCGGCGATTATCTGAGTGTGTGCTCGAACATCTTTGGGACTAAGCATTCAAAGTATTCTTTTCCATGGATATTTTGTGAAAATCGTGGATTGGAGAGCCTTTTCACTGCAGAAAATGGGCTTCTTCCCGAGAATAAGTCTCTTGAAGGATGGTGTGGTCTACTGATAGTGTGCTCGAACATTTTTGGGACTAAGCATTCAAAGTATTCTTTTCCATGGATATTTTGTGAAAATCGTGGATTGGAGAGCGTTTTCACTGCAGAAAATGGGCTTCTTTCCGAGAGGAAGTTCTTTAACATGTTTCGGACCGGTGCTGCACATGGTGCAGCACCCTGCTTTGAAGGATCTTTTTGACGTTTACAGGAGGTTTTCTCTTAGCCCAAGGTTATCAAGTCAAAGGCTAAAGCTTCTACTTTCCAAGTGACTCTGTAGAGTTGTGCCGCCGCTATTTGTTTAGGAGATATGAGCACAAATCGAACAACGGTTGCAACGAAGTGCGGCGACGCGAACGACGCGTGCGACGTCGCAACTTTTCTTTGCTTTGATTTCGAAGAGAAAAACCCTAGTTTCAATAATGATGTGTACCGTTACAACATAGATACTTTTGAATACTATTAGAATCTGAGTTCTTGTTCCTATCTTTCAAGAAAGCACAAAAGTCCCTCTCAAGCGACAAAATTCAAACACTTCGAATTCACTCAGAACTTTGGATATGGAGCTTATCTGACATGCTGATTACAAATGTGGCCCACAGGCTGCAAAATAAGGTCCCTTTGTAGGCTAACGGCTGAAAGTACACTCTTTTTCGCCGCGCGCGATTTCGCGGTCCGAAACGTGTTAAGCAAAGTGTGGTCTACTGATAGTGTGCGCGAACATTTCTGGGACTGAGCATTCAAACTATTCTTTTGCATGGATATTTTGTGAAAATCGCGATTGCCCCGAGGCGCCATCTATTCCTACCGGGCTGGCTGCGCGAGCGGTCTCCGCGCGCGGCCGCCAAGTGACCGTGGGGCGCGCAAACCTCGCCATCGGCGGCGGATGACCCGGATGACCTGTATCTCACCTTTTATCGACTAGGGCGGCCTGATATATGGATTTCGCGCCCGTTATGGGCATAAAAGGCGATAGGAATGTTCTGCAGTGACTTCTAGTCCTACTTTTCTGTATTCTTCTGAAGCTAATTCAACATGCTACCAATATTGGTTGTATTGGTGAGTATGGCGTTTTCACTATTTTGTTGTCTTTTTTGAATAGAATGAGGTCAGTGAAGGTTTTGACTACGATGAAATTTGCTGATTGTTCTCAACTTCTTGGAGCTTGAGCTGGCCTCTTTCTGATATTGATCGGAATGATTTTCTTTACTTTCTTCATCCACTCTAATGATTATTGAAGTGAGTGAGCATGATTCAAACTTTACTTGTCTCTCATAGGAAGCGACCAGTAGCAGCTTTTGAGTATGTTGAAGTTTCCTGAGATATTTTAGCTTTCTGAACATAAAGCCGGCCTTTTTTGTCTAAGTGTATGGTTCATGAAACTCCAATTGATAATGCAACCATTCTTTGTTCGATGAAAACCTGAACTCTTTCATGATCTTTATTTGGGTATGTTTCAAAATGATGAGTATCTATGTGATAATTATCTAAGAGGAAAATGTGTTGGTTAATTGTTATGCTACTGTACGAAATTATGGGAGTAAGCGATCATAGTAAGCCATTGTTATGTGAATTTCATAGTGACAGGGAGGTGGTATACATCATGTTAGAGATATTTGTGGAACTTCTTCCTTTGGATTCCATCACTGTTCGCCTTGGCCATTCTGTTTTTTCCGGTACTGGGAACGTTGCAAGTATAATAATTGACTAGAGGTACGAAGATGACTATCTACTTGTACTTGCCGTGAATAGTTCTGCCTTAGTGAGTAATGTTTTTCCACCTAGCTTGGTTAGTTCGGGCCTCACTGCGAGGTTCGGCTCTGAAACTGATCGTCGCACCCTTATCCTCGAAGCTTGGTCTATCAGCTCATAGATCTCTTTGAGCGAATCGAGGGACTCTGCTGTGTCCGTGTTCACGAGCACAGTGACATGAGATAGACCACAGCGTACCTCTGCAATTTTTGACTTGAAACACTATAATATGTGAACGCGGAACTCACACTTTCGATATCATTCCTCATCTGACTTCTCTCCTGTTTTCTTTCCTGAGCTGTCGTCACGCGCGAGGTGGACGGTTCCAGTGTGGGAGGTAAGGCTTCCTCGACTTCGAGGCGTCTCCCTTCAACTCCTTCTCCGGCAACAGGTTCGGCAGCGCTTATTCGGGTTGCTATCTCACCACCGTAGAGCTTCACCGCGTGTCTGTGGAGACAGCTGGTTCCAGATCTGTTGTCCAGGCATGAGCAGTTCCAAGAATAGGGACAGATGTCGCATAGTGGGCAGTGGATATTGTGGCCCATTGAGATATCGCAACGACATTCGCCTTGCGTAACGGTATATAGGTCCGTGGGTTGTTTACCCTCGACTTGCCACTCCATTTCTCCGATCCTGCGAATCCGTTGAGGTCTTCTCTCATAATACAGCATGGCCTTACGATGACACTTGGTAGTTTCTTGTACACGATATGACGATGTTGCGGCACGTCGTCGATCCTTGAATACTCACTCATGTCGATGTACTTCCATGGGTCAGCTTACCCTTATTTCGTTTGTGTCCGCTAAATCTTCAACTGCTTTAATTAGTAGATCCACCAGGAAATCGGCCCTTATATCAGAATTTCTGTGGAGGAAGTCCTTCTCTGGTAGTCTGAGGTGCCACCGCTCACTGATCATTGTAGCGTCCATCACAGCATTTTGGTTGGCGAACGAAGCCCAAGTTGCGGTCCTTCCTACAGTCTCACGTTTAAATAAGATAAGATTGACTACAGTGTCACCTAGATAATTTTCCCTGAGATAAGTCGCCATGGCGGTTTGTCCCTCCACATCCAGAAAAGCAAGAATCTCTGCAAATTTCCGCTCGAACGTCTCAAGATTGGCAATTAAAAGAAGTCTGTTTAGATCCTTGTTGATGCGCCCCCTCAAGCGTGCCACCTCCACAAGCCGTGTTGTGGCTCTTCTGAACGTCTGATCAAGGTGCCACCTGCAGTAGTGAATTTTTGCTTGAGATGTTGAAAATGTTTCGCGGAATCCGTTGTAAAAGCATGGGGCTTCATCCGTAACAATTTGATGTGGATTGAAATCTGGTACAAGCTTCTGTATCTCCGCGAAAAGCTTGTGAACATCATATGCTGTCAATGGTGCCACTCAACAAAGAAGCTGAAAATAAATGCTGATTGAAAGTTCTGCCTCAAAATTTTATACCTGCAGGTAAACCACGATCCCTCTGGTCTGCCACAGACACTGTAGCCAATTTCAGGCTATACTTTGTGACATTGTGAGTATCATCAACTGCTATACCTCGATCGGAGTACATTTTCAACCATTCTACCTGGGTAGTGGTGATGATGACTAAAGAAATTGCATCAGTTTTGAACATGTGAGATTTGCTTTTACGCACTCATCCGAAAACCTCTTCCATCAGGATCGTCAACCACTTTCAAAAGGTGTATCGCTTCTTCAGGATTTGCCTCGGCTTCATGCAGCATAAGTGAGTTCATATCGCTTTTGTGGCGATATCCAGGGCGTAACCCCATTTTGTACGTCAAGTTCCAAAGGTCATGTCTGTCTACAAACCAAAGCCTCGAGTTTTTGGCTGAGTATCCTTCTTCAACCGTCGTAATATGTAGTCCATAGAATGTTCTGAACAGCTCAAACACTTTCTTCCTACAGGTTATTATGAAATACCTTTCAGTAAAGTCTTCAGAAACTGCTCCTGTGCACTATTCAGGCGAAGCAGCGCTGGCTCTGTGTCGTGGCCCACACGACCGAAGCACCCAATCGCAATGGTTTTCCCATTTTCATCAACTTTAACGTTTATAAAACAACTGCAGCTTGCTACGGCTTTTTTGCTAGATGTTGCTCTGGTGGTAGTTTTTTAAATGTATGTCCCTGCTCGATTGCATCTTAAAAGGAATCTTGCCATACTGCAATAAACTTGTTATATTCACAACGTATACCTCAGCCTATAAGAGCTGCCATCAGTAGACCTTTTATAGAAACTAGTTTTTGTGTTTTAACACTGTGTATTCAACCATTCCTGAATCATATGAATTAATAAAAAGCTGGTTGAATTCAAGAAACCCCAAGAGTTCAGTCAACAAAACTTTGCACTGAAGGTTGATTGACATGCTGATAACGATTACGGTATTTATTTTGCACGTTATGGCCAATTTCGTGAAATAAGACAAAGGATATCGAAATACCAGAAGGCGCTATAATTTTGAATGGAGGGACTGTGCAAACTTTACGGAACTTGAATCATGACACCCAGCTGTAATATCACAAAAAAAATCTCCACCGTAAAAGACTATCTTTCTATTAACATCCAATAAAATGAACCTTGCGAGCAAAGTTTCCACGAAATCTAAGATTTTGCTTTTTTGGATTGTCTTGAGTGGCATGGCACCGGTTTCTAAAGAG